AATTACAGAATCCTGGATTTCCTTTGGACAAGAATCATTTGTAACATTATTAAGCAGGTGTTCTTTCCTAGTCGGATTTTAATAACGACCGAATTACACTTTTCGTTGTTTCAAGTTTAGGGGCTAAAGAAGAAGAACGTTGAAAATAGGAGACCAGTTTCAATAAATAAGACAAAACGGACGAAAAAATATTAAAGGAATAAAAAAAATAGTTTCTAACAAGAGAAAACTTCTCGATCCTCAAGAAAAACAAATCCTCTGATTTGGAAGAAAGAAGAGATTTTTTTACACATATATTATTTGTGGATACTGGGGCATAAACGAATTACTGGTAATGAGTCTATCTGAAGAAGTGGTCATTATATCGGATCAAAACAATTCTGCGGTTTATCAACATTTCGCAAAGTGTAAAATATCTAAAAATGCTAAAAAAAACTTGGCGCAGGTTACTAGAAAAATGTTACAAGCCGAATATGAGCAGAAATAGTATTAGAACCTTCTGCTATCCATGCAAAAATACTTTTGGCGCTTGAGACTTTAGAAAATTAAACTCAGAGTAATCATAAGTATTGCCACAAGACATTTTTCACTCAAACATCTCTATAAAATTGGCCAGATCTAAACAGCAGATGGTCGAACGTATTGTCTGCAACTACATGCCAGTTTTTCGCCAATCCCATAAATATCTGGAATAATCCTTTCTACAATCTGATCATGTATCTAGCGTGTTTCCAAAATATATAATATGCTTTCTTAAAATCTCATTCTTTTGGACTAAAACATGGATAGAAACAGATCGTAGTGTGGAAGACCAAAAAACCGCCATAAGGGAAGGGGTCTAAAATCTACATTGTATAACTTCGTCAGTGGTACTTATACAGGTATTTTTAGTTGATTGGGATTATTACTTCAAACAGTTATCGTAACACTACAATATAACATGAAATTTAACAACCCATTATGTTTTTATGTTTCTATTGTTATGATACTTGCTCAAGGTATTAGCCCGTTCAAATAGAAATACCTTAATACGCACCTTTGCTTAAGGTCGTCGAAAATAATTTGGTATTTTCAATACCTTCTAAATAAACAATTTTACAAAATTATTTAACTTGTGTTGTGTACATACACTTTGAAACCATCTCATCTCTCAGCATGTGTAATATAAGAATTATAGCCCAGGCTGAGGGGGACAAAAGGGTGATTTTACACTGTAATCCAGGAATTTATGTAATGTGGTCTAGATTATAAAGGGCAACCTCAGGAGCAATTCCCAAGTTAATTCAACAAAAAATTTTTGGTTATCGTTGCAAGTTGGAATAGGTGCAACATTAGACGAGTCAAGTTAGTAGAAAATAAGCGTTTTTTCGTCACAAGTGTATAGACGGGTTTGACAGTTGAAATGGATAGTATGAGATATTACAAAAAGACTCTCATCTAGGGATTCATGAATTTTTTGGTGGAACTATTTTTAAATAAACAATTAAGACGTCAATATTATTATTTTGCTCATAACTTATAAACTTGTCTATTTAGAGATTTGACGTCCACAGACGAGTTGTTGAGAAAGAAAAAATCCACAAAATGAGATATACTAAATTAAAATCGGTTAATAAACAAAAAAGTTATTGCATAATAACCAAGCAAAACGGCTGTTTTGGATTACTGTTAATAACTCTTTTAGTAATCAATAAAATTTATTTAAATGTATCTGAACTTAAAGATCTCATCGTGTTCAAAGTGTGTGCGAAAGATAGGCTAGATCCGTCAAATAGTTTTTGCACAATTTAATTTGTTTATAAGATTTTTTGAAAAATGCACAAATTTCTAAGGCCGGTCCAGATAATTTGACTGAATGGATCTTAATAATCCGGGGCTTATTTTCTTCGATGAGACATATATTAATATCCTGTGGAAAAAAAATTTAAAAAAAAATACGTTTATGTACACAAAATGATTTATTAATAAATAGCACTTTTTAAGTTTATAAACATTTACAATAACTCCGTACTATTTAGTTTAAATTAAATGGCAATAAAATATTCGGAAGGCGGGTTAAAAAACACAACTTAAAAAAAAAAGGTCCTGCGACCATTAGGAGCCGAGTTAGTCCTTTTTTTTAAATCACTGTTACGTCAATTAACAACATTAAGGGCTGAAATTAACCAATCTTTTAAAAGAAAAGTCAAAGTTATTCACAAAATGTTTAGCAAAAAAAATAATTGAAAATTGTTTAAACAGGAGTGTTGTAAACGAAGAGTACTTTGCGTTCCGACTAGAATGGAAGGAGTGGGGATTGCCGATTGCACACAAGCCGCGCTCTCCAAAAAAGTCGAGCGCACGGTTTCAAAATAGAGTGCTTGGAAAAAAATGACATATCTCGGGTTCTAGTGGACCAAATTTGTTCTTTTTTTTTAAACTGGGGTACAACGTTAAAATAATAACATTTAACGTACTTTCATTGCAAAATTATTCAAAACAAAGCAGCTAATGACTACGGAATGTACAAACTTTTTCTTAAGTCGTCTTTTTATTGTTATTTTTCTATTTATTTATTTCAAATATGATTATATTAAATAAATGAACATTTATTTATAAACATCATAAGTAAATGAACATTTTGAATAATGTTTACTAAAAATGTATTAATGAAATAATAAATTAATTTTATGTTATTACAGAAGTTGAAATTTTGTGTAGTGATTTTTTAAAATAATTTAATTTACTGTAATTTTCTACGCTTAATTTCTATATCGTCACTGTTACTACTATGTAAACATTCATCTTCACTTTCATCTTCAATTTCACTTGTATTATAACTTTCATAAATCATTTCATTTTCATTGTCGCTATTCTCATCAAACCCAGTTAAATACATTTCATCAATTATCTCTTGTTCATCTGTTGTATCGTTTTCTTCTTCATTAATAATTTCATAAATATTAGTACATTATAATAGTAAAATAATATTATATTCAAAGTTAACCGTATATTATTCAGACAACGTGGTACAACCATGTGTTTATATTAATATATATCACAACACGTAGTTTTTTTTTAATATTCAGATGAATTTTACTTACCATTAATTATTTGTAACAATTATTAAATAAAACAAAACACTAAATATTTCAATACAACAAACCGGTTGTATAGTCGCAGGAAAATGAGTTGTAACTTAAACGGCCTAACAGCATCTGCTTTCGACGTGCGCTCGACGCTCGACTTTTTTTTAGAGCGCGGCTTGAGTGCAATCGGCAATCCCCGCTGCTTCCATTTGAGTCGGAACGCAAAATACTCTTGGTTTACAACACTCCTGTTTAATCAATTTTCAATTATTTTTTTTGCTAAATATTTTGTTAAAAACTTTGACTTTTCTTCTAAAAGATTGGTTAATTTCAGCCCTTAATGTTGTTAATTGACGTAACAGTGATTTAAAAAAAAAGGACTAACTCGGCTCCTAATGGTCGCAGGACCTTTTTCTTTTTTTTTTAAGTTGTGTTTTTTAACCAGCTTTCCGAATATTTTATTGCCATTTAATTTAAACTAAATAGTACGGAGTTATTGTAAATGTTTATAAGCTTAAAAAGTGCTATTTATTGTTAAATCATTTTGTGTACATAAACGTAATTTTTTTTAACTTTTTTTCCATAGGATATTAATATATGTCTCAACAAAGAAAATAAGCCCCGGATTATTAAGATCCATTCAGTCAAATTATCTGGACCGGCCTTAGAAATTTGTGCATTTTTCAAAAAATCTTATAAACAAATTAAATTGTGCAAAAACTATTTGACGGATCTAGCCTATCTTTCGCACACACTTTGAACACGATGAGATCTTTAAGTTCAGATACATTTAAATAAATTTTATTGATTACTAAAAGAGTTATTAACAGTAATCAAAAACAGCCGTTTTGCTTGGTTATTATGCAATAACTTTTTTGTTTATTAACCGATTTTAATTTAGTATATCTCATTTTGTGGATTTTTTCTTTCTCAACAACTCGTCTGTGGACGTCAAATCTCTAAATAGACAAGTTTATAAGTTATGAGCAAAATAATGATATTGACGTTTTAATTGTTTATTTAAAAATATTTCCACTAAAAAATTCATGAATCCCTAGATGAGAGTCTTTTTGTAATATCTCATACTACTTATTTCAACTGTCAAACCCGTCTATACACTTGTGATGAGTAAAAACCTAACTTGATTGGCCTACATACATATTTTTTGATTTTTTTTCATTTTCTGCCTAAAGTAAGTATTGTAATGGGTAATTTTTGTATAGATTATGAAAGTACTCTAAAAGACCTTCAATTTGAGCCGGTATACTACAAAATTAAAAAACGTAATATTTATTGCAAAACTGCTTTTTTTATTTCAAATATATTACATTCAAGCCTATAAAAATACGAATCGAATGAGCCATAGTAGGCCTAGAGAGCTTAATTTGTTGCTGAGATACGTTAATTAGTTTATCCCACGACCTTCAACTTTGAATGCTCATAGGATTGTCCATAAATAAACAATAACCAAAAATTACTTGTTGAATGAACTGGAGGATTGCTCCTTAGGTTGCCCTTTATAATCTAGGCCACATTACATAAATTTCTGGATTAGAGAGTACTTTTTCCCCCACAGCCTGGGCTATTAACTGGTTTGCAATCGTAATATAATTTTATACAAATTCTTAGTTTAGTAAATATCTTCATTTAATATATGTACAAAAGTAAATTAAAATTATGAACTGGAAAGTAAAAATAAAAATTATATAATATAAAAAATTAAACGTTTCATCTTCGTTTGCTATAATTTTAAAAATTAGCAATGTAGATTAAAGGTTGATCTTAATTATTTTATTATTAAGTTTTTGATATTGTGCAAGTAATTTGCATGTTTTGCATGCATTGGTGTGAGCATACTCAAGTGATTATTGGTCTTGTGGAGCTGAAACAATTTTTTTTAACAAAAACTGATGCTACGGCAACAATTTTCAGGAATACAGTGTACAACTTACATTTCGGGAGCAGTGGTTAGATGAGAGGCTGAAGTTTAACGACTTTGGAGGACGGTTAAAATATTTAACGCTCACAGAGGCAAACAGGGTCTGGATGCCGGATCTGTTTTTCTCAAACGAAAAAGAGGGCCATTTTCACAATATCATCATGCCAAATGTCTACATTCGCATTTTTCCTACTGGATCAGTATTATATAGTATAAGGTCTGTAGTATATCTTCCAAAGGTAACAAATCAGAGTCAAGCTTGTGTTGGACTGTCATCACACGCTTCAGTCTAAGGCATGATTGTTTCTTGGTGTATATTTTTATTTGTCATAATTTATTTTGTTTTACTACAGGTTTTGCATGCATGAATTATCAAAGTTCAGGATATTCTTTCTATTTGCGTTTATATTGACGACAGAAACTGCAATATAAATGAATAAAACCATTATAATTTTCATCAACTTTAGAATTATTTATTATTTAATAAATTTCTTATTAATATTACTTAACTAAATATCCAAGGAAATTTTCTGCTAAGTTAATTAATTTACTTGTAGGTATATTTCTAAATGTATAACTTAAACACACATGTGACATCCAGCTAAATCAGGACCATTAAGCTAGCGGGGACTAATGAGCGGAATCCAATTTAACATACGTAAAATTTTTTCACCCATTTTTCACTAATTTATTACCACCCAAATAATTTTTCACCACATACTATAATTATAATTAATGTTATCTGCTATTCACACACTTGTGCCTATTATACCACTGTTTCTTTGCCATATTCCAACACTTCTGCCGCATCAGTCTTAATACGTTTTTCACATTCCCATCAGCTACTGATACCGTTTGATGAAATTTTTTAACTAGTTTAAATATATATGAGTGATGAATTTGCTTATCTTAACACGTTCAATGCCACCAGTTAATTGCTTGTGCATTAGCTGTGCATCCCACCTTTTTTTTCTGATTTTTATATTGAATGTTTACAATGAATAAAAGACGGTATTACAAATGTGATTTTATTGAAAAAACATAACACTGGATCATTAAGAAAAATACACCCATAGGTGTAACAGGCAACTCCAATGAAAATTTCATTAGAAATGCCGATTACACCTATGAGTGCAAGTCAAATTGACAGTATTCAACATTGACAGAAATTTTTGGAGATTTGGTATTAAAAAACAAAAATTAAAACAATTATTTATTAAAACAAGTATTTAAAAAAAACACTCGACATAAAAACTAGGTGATCCAGTGCAAGCGTTGCAAGCATAAATAGTTGCTTTTCTTTAATTTTGTCTCCTGTTTACTAGGCACTTCTTCCGTAGAACTCGTTTTACCCTTTTGAAAGTACCTCCTATACCGTAATTTGCTTTGATTGTTTTCTCTATTTTTTCCAATTTGTGCTCTCCAAGGTCAATTTGCTCTGGCAACATAGTCTCCAAAATTAATAGTAAAAAATTATATAGCAGAATAGGTTGTGCTGAATAATTATTGTATAAAATTAGTGAATTTCGTAACAATATAACAATGAATAAACAATTTCTTATACCAACGCAAAGTTTTCCGAGAGCACGGATAACATGCGAGCATTTGGTCTTGACCGTCAATGCCGGATATATGTTTGTTAATTCATAAGTGGCTGTAGGTTTCAACTTTCCTTGACCTCGTTTATTGGTGGTTTCCGTCATTGTATTACCAAATTCCGTAGTTAAGTATAATACCTCTCTTTTGTCCTTCCACTTGCCAAGTGAACTCCATTGCGAAATACGGATTTATTATCTCCTTTTTGTAATCGTTTTTGTACAACAGGCATTGGATTACTTTTTCTATTTCTGTGTAATGTTCCTGTACAATAGGTTCCTTTTGTAAGCAGTTTTCATCCTAATTCATAGCTATTGTAAAACCTGTTCATAAATACCGAATGTCCAAGATTGTATTTCTCCTCTAACAACTTCAACACCACTTCCTCTGTGTGACCAGTACCGCTGGTTTCATTCCCTGCTCCACTGTAAACGATAAAATTGTGAACCAATCCATCAGGTTCTGTCAGCATGTACAGTTTATTACTATACTTATGACGTTTATTTGTATATATTGCCGGAATATAAGTCTTCCTCTCCAAGATATCATGGATTTATCTAAAGAAAGGGATTTACCTGGTGTGTGAATTGATTTCATTTTGCTATTGAAATGATCCACTACATGACGTATTTTGCGTAAACGATCTTGATTATTAATATCAATAAAAGTTTTCAATTCTTCCACAGTCAGCTCCTTCAAGGAGGTAGTATGAGACTTCTGTTTTGTGTTTTTAGAGAGAAAGATGGTTACACCATTTTGTTAGTGTTTATAACAATCAGTTCCAGCAAATGTTCATCAAGTAACAATGTAAGAAAATCAATTGGATTGTTACTGTCGAGGTTTGCCAAGAATGATCGATGGCTCCGAAATTAAAGTTTTTGTAGTTCTTCTATATCTACCCACGTAGGAAAATTTCTACCAGAAGTAGTAGCACCGAGCATTTCAACTTGCGGAGTTGTTTGATTTGATGATTCTTCTGTCAAATGTTTCAATTCATAATCTTCATCAGTACATCACTCATCACTGTTGTCTGAATATTCTTCACCGCTGGATCCTGCAGACATATATTCATTCTCCTTTTCAGGTTCTAAAATATATCGCAATTCATCATCTTTTAGACGACACTTGCGCTCATATTTTGATAATTTGTGAGAAAGTATCATTCTCTTTTTATTTACACCGAACGGTCCTGCTTCATTGCCACTAGAAGATCTCCCTGCACTACTTATTGTCTTTACGATTTTAATTAACAATAATATAACGAAAAATGTCAACAACAACGTTATTTAAAACAATAACACTACTAAATTTACTAATGTTTGTATTTTGAGCACGATTTCCGAAGTGGAAATTGAAACGTCAATAAACTTACTTTAACCTTTTATTGTGGTTTATTCCCATTTAAATAGTAATTATTTTAAAATGCAACAAGAAAATAGCTTCAGAACAATATTAAGAAAACTGTTATGGACCCAGCGTTATTCAAAATTTTCGGAGATTGGAAATTCTTTATAATAAACTGGAACATTGTTCTGAAGCTATTTTCTTGTGGCATTTTAAAGTAATTACTATTTAACTGGGAATAAGCGACAATTAAAGATAAAAATACGTTTATTGACGTTTTAATTTCTACTTTGGAAATCGTTCTCAAAATACAAATAGTAAATTAAACAAATTTTGTTTTTTGTTACATAGTGAAAAATTCTTCTAATAATTTAATTTTATCTGACTCACTTATATTGACAATTCAGACATACATTATGCATTTTAACGTAGACGACTTTAAAATGATATTGCCAATATTGTTGAGTTGCGCTCCTGGGACGACTTTACTTATAAGATAGTTCATTCGATTACATGAAATCAACTTTATCTTGAGAATATCCGTCAGAAAAAATCATAGTAGGATAGAATGTAGTAGGATCTGGTTACCAATATTGAAAGAGGAAGTTATTAATAAGAAAATACCAGTATTAGTAAGTCAGTAACATATAGAGGATACATCATTTATGTTTTTTAAATAACGAAACATATAAAATCAGAATTTTGGTGTTTATTGAAGGTAAACTAAATGCACGAACAAATACTTACCATGTCGGGATAGTATTATGAGGTTTTTTTTTCCTGGTTTTTCCCTCATTATTTACTATGGAATCACTAACAGGAGAATTTTACTGTCATCATGTCATGTGTTTGTCTTTTTAAAGACGAACTATATGCTATGATTTTTTCTGACGGATATTCTCAAGTTAAAGTTGATTTCATGTAATCTAATGAACTATCTTATAAGTAAAGTCGTCCCAGGAGCGCAACTCAAGAATATTGGCAATATCATTTTAAAGTCGTCTACTTTAAAATGCATAATGTATGTCTGAATTGTCAATATAAATAAGTCAGATAAAATTAAATTATTAGAAAAATTTTTCACTATGTAACAAAAAACAAAATTTGTTTAATTTACTGTTTGTATTTTGAGAACGATTTCCGCAGTGGAAATTGAAACGTCAATAAACGTATTTTTATCTTTAATTGTGTCTTATTCCCAGTTAAATAGTAATTAAACTGGAACATTGTCAAAATTCAATCAAATTTTACGAAATAAAAAAATACCTACCATGGAAACTAGCTATCTAGAAACTCTTTTTCTAAAAGCCAAATCTAGTTGGGCTCAGTTTTGTTCCCTACTTAATAGACAACCCTCAAAGCTTTGGTTCATCCTCAGAGCTTTGGCAAAAGGTAAACAAATTTCAGGATAACAAAAAGTACACCAGTACTGATGAATGTATGGAAAAAAGTCTTTTACAAAAATCTCTCCAGAATATGTCCATCTACCAGTATTTATTTCGAACATCTCTAATAATGATCACTTTTTCTTCTTCTACAAGAAGCTTGGAAATTATTGTAGCTATACGAACAATATTGACTAAAGCTATAATTGGTTCTGGGCTACTGCATTAACACTTTTTCGATCAGTTTTTACTAACCCACATTTCAGCTGACGAATTTAAAGCAAATATTAAGAGTTCTAAAAATACAGCTCCTGGTATCGACGTATAGCATGCTAATAAACATGTTCCTTATTGTCATATATATTATCTGTGCAAAATATACAATAATATTCTCTTAAATTCTCAAAATCTGTGATTATCTCAAACAATGATTGGTTGTTCCTATACCCAAAGTAAACCAGCGTAATGCCCTAAGACCTATCTCTGTCATGTCTCGTGAATGCTTAAAACATTTAAACGATTAATGAAAAACAGATTAGAATGGTGGTGTGAAAACAAAAATATATGTCCAGTATCTCAGTATGGCTTTCGTAGGAATAAAGGAACTATGGATTGTGTTTCTTAATTAACAAGTGATATTCAGTTATTCTACTAAAATAATGATAACGTCAATTAAAATCTATTGTTCTAAAAACTAAAACACAAGGTATTCCACCTCAATCAATCAATCAATTTATAACGTTCTACACCGTCTTCTGATTTCCAGTCTCCATTTATCTCGGTCGTTCCAAAGGTTTTCTTCAATTCCCCTCTCCCGTAAGTCTTTATCAATTCCTTCTCTCTTATTGTCAGTCTACTCTGCTTTCTTCTTCTTCTTCCATGCGATGTTCAG